GCAGGCTCAGCGGCCATGGCTCACGGGCCCAGCCGCTCCGCGGCATGTGGGGTCTTCCCGGACCGGGGCACGACCCCGCATCCCCTGCATCGGCAGGCGGACTCTCAACCACTGCGCCACCAGGGAGGCCCTCACCTCCCCTTTAAAATGGGCCATGTCATCATCTCAAGACAAGCCTAAGGACCACCAGTGTCCCAGATGAGATTCTGAGGACCAGGACCTATCTTCTCAGCAACCCCAAGGAGATTTAAACATCTCAAGAATAGTGCCTTCTGTGTTTGAATCTCCATTTGCATAAATAGTGCCTATACAATAGAGAGGAAGAAAGAAAAGAAGGAGGGGAGGAAGGAGGGGAAAAAGGAAAGAGAGGAAGAGGATTCCATGCATATCCCTGGCCATGTCACTCCTTTTCATCATGTGGCCCTTGCAACTTCCTCAGCCTCAGCTCTTTCATCCACCACCTCGCACCCCCTCCCTCCACACTCTTTACCCAAACTATTCCCCAGGCAACCTAGGTTCTCTCCTCCTTCTGTGTCTTTGCTCATACCACTCTCTTACCTGGAATGCCCTTCACCTCTGCCTGTGTCCCTTGTCATCCCTCTTTCACCCCTGCCCACTCCCACCCCTGTCCTTTTCTATTTATTCTTCAAATCTCAACTTAAAGGTTAAGCCCTCTGGGTAGATCTAGCTGCTCTTTTTCCTTCATTCCCATAGCACCTTGACTTGTGTGTTCTATAGAATGTTTCTCAAACTTTAATGTGCATAGGAATCACCTGGGGATCTTGTTAAACTGAAGACTCTTTCAGAAGGAGAACCTGAGAGCCTACATTTCTAACAGGTTCCCAGGAGATGCTGCAGGTCCGAGGACCACATTAGAGCTCTCACTACATTGTATTAGGATTAATTATTTATGTATTCGTGTAGCACTGAGCTCCTTCAGGGAAGAGACTAGACCTTAATCACCTTCCTAGCCCCACTGCCTAGAAGAGTGCCTGGTGCATAGCACTTGCTCAGAAGATGTGTTTTGTGTGCTGACCATGGGAAAGAACCAGAAAGTAGATGAGAACCCTGCTCAGTTTCTGATACATTAACCTACATTTTCTCCCTTCCTGGCAGCAGCTGTCAAGGCTGCTGGGAGTAGCAGGCGATGGGGCACAGGGACAGGTAGCTGGCAACCAGCAAAGCCCTCTGCAGGTACAGAGCTCAGGGTGTCCCTGAGGCTGGAACTTTAACACTCTCTTCCATCTCCCATGCCATGAACTTTACCTATTTGTTTCATTTAGTGTCAGTCTCCCCATATGAGAATAGAATCTCTTTGAGAGGTAGGTATTAATTTATTTTGTTCATGGACAAAACCTGGCTCATAGTCAACCCTCAATAAATATTTGCTGCATGAATAACTGAATGAGAAATCAACCCTTGGTTTCATGTCTCCCTTCCTTTATACAAATCTAATAACCAGGCAAGATCTGGGCTTACACAAGGCCAAGGCAGACAAGGTAGGAGTCAATGAGGAAGAAACTACACAAACAACAGCATCAGCTTAAAAAATAATCAGACTGCAAAAATTATCAAGGTTGAATTTGCATGCCTCCAACTGAATCAGAACAAAGCAAGGCTGTTGAGTCATCCGCCTTCCCAGAGACCTTCCTAATAGCTCTCCAATACTGGGCCCAGTATTCCCTGGACTGAGCCATACACTACAAATGTAGAAAAGAGCCATGTGAGGGCCATGAGCTGAGGGTCTCGGAGTCCCACGACTTAACTTGGCTTTTAGAGATGCAGCCTGAAACTGCTCAGTACACCAGCGCCCTGGGAGGAAGACTTTCACAACCATTAGAAACTGGGTGTCTCCCAGTTTTTGTAATTATTTGAAGTAATTACAAAACACTAATAATGTTGTAACTATATAATCAACTATTAATATATAAAATAAAAAATTAAAATATTAATACACAATAATTTTACATATATTAGATGAAAGGGATTCTACCTTCAGATATTTCCCCATTTCTAGCTGTTTATCCATTTCTCACCACCACCACCCACACCCACACCCCCAAGGGTTTAATTAGCAGAATCACACACCTGAGGGAGAATGGTTTCTGTGCATGTACGCAGAAGGGTATGGAGCCTGCCGGTGGTGTCCTCGGAGGCCAGAATAGTGCTCACAGCCATGATGGGTGTGGGGAGCAGACAGAGGCAAAGGAGTAGCATACTGGTAATTGGCATTTCCTGCTGTGCATACTCCATCCGGATTGGCAAAGATCCAGCCTCCCACTAGAAGAGACAAGAGGAAGACACAGAGAATAACTCTATGAACTTCCACACCAAAATCAGGTTACCAGCCACTTTGCATAGTTATGTTTCTGTGTGAATGACATGTGGAGTTACATACCACCACCCCCACTGCCACTCCCCTTCTGTGTTAGCAACAAAGTTGGCTTCTTTGGAAGTGGATGACAGGTCCTGTCAAAGTTTGCAAAACCTCTTAAGAAATACTGTGGAATCACAGCTATATAAAATATTATTTGAATGTATAAGTCAATAGAATTGCAAAAGTTAAGTTGCTTCTGACTTAATTGGGTTAAATTAAAAGTCAGTCTAAGGAGGAGGTGTTAGATGTATATCCTACTCACTGATCTACAGCTACCGAATGTTTAATTTGGTTACCCAGAAAGAGTGAAGGCCTCTCTGTTTCTGCCCAGTGGGAAGGTATCTTTAGTTCTCACTCCAAGCATGAGGAGACATGATCCCTCCCATCACCACCCCACAAAGAGGATTCTGAAAGCAAAAAGAGAGAGAGCTGGCTAGACAACTTGACAAGAATATTGTGGCACATTTTGGGAAACTGCAAAATATTTCACAGAAATGTGTTTGTGAATGACCATCTCAATTGATGCAGAAAAAGCATATGACAAAAGTTAACACCCTATCGTAATAAAAACACTCAACAAACATAGAATACAAGGAAATTGCCTCAGCATAATAAAGGCCATATGGGACAAGCCCACAGCTAACATCATACTCAATGGTAAAAAACTGAAAGCTTTTTCTCTAAGATCATGAACAGGACAAGAATATCCACTCTCACCACTTCCATTCAACATAGTACTGGAGCAACCTGGAAAAAAGGAAAAGAAAGAAAGAAAAGGCATCCGAATTGGAAAGGAAGAATAAAATTATCTCTGTTCACAGATGACACAATTTTATATGTAGAAAACCCTAAATATTTCACACACAAAAAACTTTTGGAACTAACAAACAAATTCAGCAAAGTTGCAGGATACAAAATCAACACACAAAAATCAGTTGCATTTCTACACACTAACCATGAATGATCTGAAAAGTAAACTAAGAAAACAATTCCATTTAGAATAGCATTGAAAAGAGGAAAGTACTTTGGAATAAACTCTACCAAGGAGGCAAAAGACTTGTACACTGAAAACTACTAAACATTGATGAAAGAAATTAAAGAAGATACAAATAAGTGGAAAGACATCCTATGTTCATGGATTGGAAGACTTAATATTATTAAAATGTTCATACTACCCAAAGCAATCTTTATCAAAATCCCAGTGGCATTTTTGTCAGAAACGTAAAGCGATACAAAAATTCATATAGACTCTCAAAGAACCCCAAATAGCCAAAACAATCCTGAAATAAGAACAAAGCTAGAGGCCTCACACTTCCTGATTTCAAAACACATTACAAAGCTACAATACTCTAAATAGTATGGTACTGGCATAAAGACATATAGACCAATGGAAGAATAAAGAGCCTAGAAATAAACCCTGCTTATATGGTCAAATAATTTTCAACAAGGGTGCCAAGATTACATGATGGGGAAAGGATAGTCTCTTCAGCAAATGGTGTTGGGAAAACCAGATATCCACATGCAAAAGAAAGAAGTTTAACTATTATATTACACCATATATAAAAACTTAACTTAAAACAAATAAATTAAAAAAATGTAAGACCTATAAAACCCCTAGAAGAAAACATAGGAGAAAACTTCATGAAATTGGATTTGGCAATGATATCTTGGATATGACACCAAAACACAGACAACAAAAGCAAAAATAGACAAACTATGTCAAACTTTAAAACTTCTGCACAGCAAAAGAAGCAATCAACAGAGTGAAAAGGAAATCTACAGAATGCAAGAAAATATTGGCAAACTATATATCTGATAAGGGATTAAGGTCTAGAATATATAAAGAACTCCTACAACTCAACAATAAAAACAACAACAAAACTCCAATTAAAAATGAGAAAAGGACTCGAATAGACATTTCTCCAAAGATATACAAATGACCAATAAGTATATGAAAAGATGTTCAACATCACTATTCATCAACGAAATGCAAATCAAAACTAGATATCATATCATACTATTAAGATGGCCATTATCCAAAAACCAAAAAAACAAAATAGGAAACAAGTGTTGGTGAGAATGTGGAGAAATTAGAACCCTTGTGAACTGCTGGTGGGAATGCAGAATGGTGCAGCTGTCATGGAAAACACTATGGAGTTTCCTCAAAAAATTAAAAACAGAAGTACTGCATGATCCACCAATCCCATTTCTGGGTATATATCCAAGAGAATTAAAGACATTTGCCAACCTATGTTCACTGCAGCATTATTCACAGTAGCCAAGAGGTAGAAGTAATCTAAATGACCAACAACAGGTTATTGGATAAGCAAATTTGGTATATACATGCAAGTAAATATTATTTCAGCCTGAAAAAAGAAGGAAATCCTGTCATATGATACAACATGGATGAGCCTTGAGGGACATTAGTCTAAGCAAAAGAAGCCAGGCACAAAAAAACAAATATTGCATGATTCCTCTTACACTAGGTATCTAAAGGATATGCAAATAGAGATAGAAAGTAGAACAGTGGTAGCCAGGGGCTTTGTGGAGCGGGAGATGTGAATAGATGTAGTTTGGTGAATATATGTAGTTTCAGTCATGCAGGAATGGGGGCGGGGGGCGGGCAGGTGGTTCTGGGAATCTGTTGCACTAAAATGTGCCTGTGGTTAACAATATTATACTGTACATGTGGAAATTGTTGTGAGGGTGCATTTTATGTCATGGTTTTTTGCCACAATAAAAAAAATTTAGTGAACATTCTGAATAGAAGGCTCTACTTCAAGTGAATTCATGGGTAAAGATTGAGACTTAGTAATACAGGCCCTGGAACAAGAAGCACATACTTTCACTGACTAGCTCTCAACTGAGAGGCCCACAGATAAGGACTCAGACACACCAGAGATGTTCCTTAAGAATACTGACTAGGGATTGTTACCAGGGCTTCAGTAACATGGAAATGGAACTTTTATTAAAAAGCACTTGCTTAATACTTTTTAAGTATAAGTAAGCAAATTGTACAGAATTCATATTACAAAATGTATGTCAGTCATTCTCAACAAATCCTTTTGTTATCTTCATTTTCTCATTTTTGTATAGACACGTGGCCCAAGGGGTCCCTACCTGAACAATAGAATCAAGATTCAGGTGTCCAGTGAGCAAAGCTAGGCAAGTGGTCCCACAGAACTGGACTTTTGTCTATGTAGTTTGCCACATATAAGGTATATACCTTAAGAAGCTTACTAAGAAGACTACAACATATGAACTTTGAAAAGGTATGGCTCCACATGTGATCCTATCCTATACAAAAATGCTTTTTATTCCAGGTCACTTAAAAAGTGCTTTTTCTATGGATAAATTTCTAGAAATGTACAATCTCCCAAGACTGAATCAGGAAGAAGTAGAAAATATGAACAAATTGATTACCAGTAATGAAATTGAATCAGTAATCAAAAAACTCCCAACAAACAAAAGTCCAGGACCAGACCACTTTACAGTTTAATTCTCCCAAATATTTTTAAAAGTTATAACCTATCCTTCTCAACCATCCTAAAAGCTGAAGAGGAAGGAATGCTTCTGAACTCATTCTATGAGTCCAGCAGCACCCTGATACCAAAACCAGACAAAAGCACCACAAACAAGAAAATTATAAAACAAAACAAAAAGGAAAAAACAACAAAAAAGAAAATTACAGGCCAATATCTCTGATGAACATAGATGTAAAAATGCTCCAAAAAATTAGCAAACTAAATTCAACAATATATAAAAAGGATTATATATCATGATCAAGTAGGATTTATCCCAGAGATGCAAGGATGGTTTGATATCGATAAATCAATGAATGTGATACACATTAATAAACTGAAAAATAGAGATCATCTGCATAGAGGCAAAAAAAATAGCTTTTGACAAAATATAACATCCATTTATGATAAAAACTTTTAACAAAGTGGGCATAGTGGGAACATACCTCAACATATTAAGACCGTATATTGACAAGCCCACAGCTAACATCATACTCAATGATGAAAAGCTGAAAGCATTTTCTCTAAGATCAGGAACAAGACAAGTATGCCCACCCTTGCCACTTTTATTCACCATATTATTGGAAGTCCATAGCCACAGCAATCAGACCAGAAAAAGAAATAAAAGGAATCCAAATTTGAAAAGAAGAAGTAAAACTGTCACTGTTTGCAGATGATACTATATCATGAAAATTCTAAAGACACCACCAAAAAAGTACTAGAACTAATAAATGAATTCAGTACAGTTGCCAGATACAAAAATAATATACTGAAATCTGTTATTTCTATACACTAACAGTGAACTATCAGAAAGAGAAATAAAGAAAACAATCCCATTTATAATTGTATCAAAAAGAATAAAATATCTAGGAATAAATCTAACCAAGGAGGTAAAAGACCTGTGCTTGGAAAATTGTAAGACATTGATGAAAGATAGGGAAGAAAGCACAAACAAATAGAAAGACACACCATGTTCATGGATTGAAGTAATTAATATTGTTAAAATGACCATGCAACCCAAGGCAATCTACAGATTCAGTGCAATCCCTGTCAAAATACCAAAGATAATTTTCACAGAACTAAAACAAATAATTCTAAACTTTGTATGGAAACACAAAAGACTTTGAATAGCCAAAGCAATCTTGAGAAAGAAGAACAAAGCTGGAGGTATCATGCTCCCTGATTTCAAACTAAACTGCAAACCCACAATAATCAAAACAGTATGGCACTGGCACAAAAACAGACACATATATCAATGAAACAGAATAGAGACCCCAGAAATAAACCTACACTTACATGATCAATTAATCTATGACAAAAGAGGCAAGAATATACAATGGGGAAAAGATAGCCTTTTCAAAAAGTGGTGCTGGAAAAACTAGACAGGTACATGAAAAAGAATCAAACTGAACTACTTTCTCATATCATATACAAAAATAAACTCAAAATGGATTAAAGACTTAAATGGAAGCCCTGAAAGCATAAAACTCCTAGGAAAAAACATAGGCAGTACACTCTTTTGACATCAGTCTTAGCAATATTTTTTTTTTTTGGATCTGTCTTCTCAGGAAAGGGAAACAAAAGCAAAAATAAACAAATGAGACTACATCAAGCTAAAAAGCTTTTGCACAGAGAAAAAACAAAAAGGCCACCTACTGAATGAGAGAAGATATTTGCAAATGATATATCTGGTTAATACCCAAAATATACAAAGAACTCATACAACTTATCATCAAAAAAGCAAACAAGCCAACTGAAAAATGGGAAGAGGAACTGAAGAGACATTTTTCCAAAGCAGACCTACAGATGGGCAACAGACACATGAAAAGATGCTCAACATCATTAATTATCAGATTAATGCAAATCAAAAACACAATGAGATATTAGCTCACACCTGTCAGAATGGCTATTTTCAAAAAAATAATAAGCGTTTGTGAGGATGTGGAGAAAATGGAACCCTTGTGAGTGGCTGGCAGGAATGTAAACTGGTATAGCCACTGTGGAACACAGTATGGAGTCTCCTCAAAAAATTAAAAATAGGGACTTCCCTGGTGGTCCAGTGGTTAAGAATCCACCTTCCAATGCAGGGGACGTGGGTTCAATCCCTGGTTGGGGAACTAAAATCCCACATGCCGCAGGGCAACTAAGCCCATGCACCACAACTGCTGAGCCCGCACACCCTAGAGCCTGCACGTCACAGCTAGAGAGAAGCCCATGTGCCACAATGAAAGATCCTGCATGCTGCAGCGAAGATCCTGTGTGCCACAACTAAGACCTGACACAGCCAAACAATAAAATTTTTTAAAATTTAAGTTAAAAATTAAAAATAGAACTACTGTACAATCCAGCAATTCCACTTCTCAGTATTTTTCCAAGGAAAACAAAAACACTAATTGGAAAAGATATATGCACCCTTATGTTCATTGCAGCATTATTTACGATAGCTAAGATATGGAAGCAACTTAAGTGACCATCAAGAGATGAATGGATAAAGAAGAGATACAGATATAGATATAGATATATCTAGAACTATCTATATCTATAGATAGATAGATAGATAGATAGATAGAGATATAATGGAATATTACTCAGCCATAAAAAAGAATGAAATCTTGCAACAACATGGAAGGACCTACAGGGTATATTATGCTAAGTGAAATAAGTAAGATTAAAAATGTTAAATACCATATGATTTCACTTACACGTGGTATCTAAAAAACAAAATAAATGAGCAAACATAACAAAGCAGAACAGACTCGTAGATACAGAGAACAAACAGGTGGTTACCAGAGAAGAGGGGGGTGGGGAGGAAATAAATAGGTGAGGGAGATTAAGAGGTACAAACTTCCAGTCACAAATGAGTCATGAGGATGAAATGTACAGCATAGGGAATATAGTCAATAATATTGTAATAATTTTCTATGGTGACCGATGGTAACTAGACACACACACAAAAATAAGACTCCTGAGAAAAGTTTTTTTAAATGATTTTCTGAGGGCTGCTTCTCTTCATGTGGCTATACTGCCACTTCTGCAATGAAAAATGCACTGAGGTTTAGGGGAAGGAGAGAGTAAGGAACACCATAGCTGGAAAACTGCAGAAGGAATCCTAGCAAGCCACTATCATCTAAATTAAAGAGTATCTCAGACACTGATGCCACTGACTGTGTGTTACTGTTGCAGGTTTAGAGGACCTGCTCCACCATGGGACCTTCTCTCTGATCTGAGACATGGAGAGAGTGGCACCCTGTCAGGAACATCCAACCTACCTGCAGAATCCCAGGTATATTACTCCACTAATACTGCAGCTTTCCAGTCAACAAATGCAGAAGCTTCCTCATATGCAAAGCGATGGCCTTCCTGAGGCATTGCAACAGTGACCAACTCAAAAACTAGCAAGCACTAAGAACAAGGGAAATCCAAAACAGAGGCGAGAGCGGAGTGTAAGTGTAGGAGGTACACCCAGAATGCATTTTTATGAGCTCTTTAGACTTGCTGACACAAAAACGAGAGTCTAAGAAATTTACTATTTCCATTCTTCTCTCCTGCCTAGGATTTGAGTAAGCACTGGTTCTCTCTGGGAATTCTTGCAAGGGAATATACTTGTCTTGAGTGGAAGAAATAACCTGTTGGGTCTTGATAGAAGATTTGGGACAAGCCTGAAGCAGTCATGACAGGTAAAAAGTCTGAGTGTGGTGGAGGTGCTCCTTGTGTAGCCCCAGGCCTCTCCCACCCAGTGTTCACCCAACTCACAGTGAGAATAGGCCACATGCTGGCTCTCAGACATAGCTTCCGGAACGTCTTTGAGGTGGTTCCTGAAAGAGCAATGAGAGTGCACCATGGCTGTCCAGCTTATTATACAAGTCTAGTATCAAGTACACCCAAGATTCTCTTCGGAGAGCAATACATTTCTTGGAATAAGAAAATCAAACACCTTTTTTTCCCTCAAAGCCATTATCTTTCCCACAATATCCTTCTCCTACTTTATCTACTTGTGCAATTGCTATTTGAATTGCAATTTTATAGTCACTCCAGTTTACCTTATTTACACCTATCCCTATTTAGCTTGATCTTACTGATCTGTGATCAGTGCTCCTGCTGACAAAATTCAAGCAACAATAACAACAGCTAAGATTTGCATAGGACTTCAGGGCACAATCACATCTGTGATACGCTAGATCCACCAATGATCCTGTGAGAGAGTATTACTACGCCCATTTCGCAGATTTAAAAAATGGGTCCCAGAAAAGTAAACTGACTTATGCAAGCCAGGAAATGGCAAAGCCAGGACTCAAAGCTAGGATCTCTCGCTCAAAGTCCTAATTTTTTTTTATTATACTACTTTTCTTATCCAAAAAAGTTATTTCTTCTACATCATCAAAATTAAATCAAGTATTGACAGGACAGACCCCTGTGACACATCACTGTAAGTATCTGTCTATTAATCTAGAGCCTTTAAGATGAAATGGAAAAATTAGACAGTTATAGGAGTTAGTGTAAAGATTTGAAACAAGACAATAGAATCTGAACACTTCAAAGGAAATCATTCACACCCCCAAAAGTCTCTGACTTCTCTTCTCTCAGACCTGAAAGACATGAGCCTCTCACCTTTACGAATAACTCATATGAATTACTCACCTTTCCTAGGTGAAATCTAGTTTTTTAAAAAAAAATACTTATTGAAATCATATTATTCAGATAATTATAGGAAAGACAGAGTGAATTATTAAAAATTTAAATCACTTATTTTTTTTAATGGGATTGTACTACTTTTAAGAATCTGTAGTAAAACAGAGCTAATGAAACATGGCCAGTTCCGGGACCTCCTGGACCCATATTATAAGGGACAGGTAATTATGAGTTTGTTCTATTTTGCTGATTTTGTTGGACATTGAATATTAAAAACATGCTTCTATCAAAGGTAATGCAAGTGCTACTAGTTAATTCCTTTCAAGATGATTATAAATTTCACATTTGCAGAAATCATAAGATTTCACTGAAATTTCTCTACTCACCTTTCCTTAGCATCCAAGAAGGCTTTGGCAAAAGGGTTGTACTTGATTTTGAGAGCTGTTATCTTGTGTTTACAAAGACAAGAAGTGTTAGTGAAAGTAGAACATGCATGGGCAGACAGAACCCTGTATCTTCACCTGTGAATTTCTATAAAATCAGAATAATTCTCCTTTCTCTTTTTTTCTCCCTCTCCATGTTTCTTTGCTTACTTCTGCACAAAATCACTATTGCACAGTTCAACAAGAAACATTTTATTGTCACATGTGGTAAAAATGCCAAATATAGTATAAAGTGAGCAAAGAAAGGACAAAGCATTAGACATGCACAAGCCTTATGTGCCAAACCCAGCATTCATTCCATTACTCATTCATTCTTTTCAACAACAATTGAACACCTACCATCTGTCAGTTAGTTTTCCAGTCACTGAGACACAGAGGAGAGATATACAGGTGAGCACCTGCCTCTAGAGTCTTGAGTACAGACTAGTATCAACTCCCTAACTCTTAAATAATCACTTACCCTTTGGTCCATGTTAACACAAAAAACAAACTATCACTTCCAACCACTGTCACTCTTTATCCCCCCCCCGCCGGCCTTAGCCTGCTTCATTTTTCTTCAGAGCCATCTGACTATATATATATATATATATATATATATATATATTTGGTTTTCATCTCTCCGCACTGGGATTTAAGTGCCTTGAGGACAGTGCAGTATTACCAGCATGTAGTAATACTCAGCAAATAGTTGCTGAATAAAGGAAGGTTTTGGCTCCCTTATCCACCCCTGTGGCCACTCTCCTCTCAGGGTGCATCTACATCAAATTGGCACGGATACGTCATCAGGAGACGGAGGCTCTGAGGTTAGATTTTCCTGAGCTTGGTTCCCCTGAGGCATGTTCAAGACCAGAATTACAGCATCAGGCTGGTAGCTTGCTGGAGGTGTGGCCTTAGCCCTGCTTGCAGTTCAGAGGGAACTGTCCAGCCCATGTCCAGGAAAAGCTTCTGAGCACTTACCCAGAGGGCAACCAGACGACAGGTTCCACCAGCCACGCACTAAGAGAGCAGGCAGCATGTAAGTGGATAAGGGGCATTGCCCGGAGACCAGAGGAGGCCAGGATGGGGTCCCTAACTCCTCCCTACTTTCCAAAATCTCAAAAGCCCACCCTCCCCTCATAGACCCAGACGCCATCCTACAGAGAGTAGCAGAGCGGGGAGGGCAATCTGATGAACAAAGTGGTTCAGCCTATAAAAACTGAACAGTACCTGAGGGCCTATTTAAATTAACAGATATTTAGTTAATTTCTCTTCCCACTGACCTGCTAGAGGGGCTCAGCTAAGAGGCCAAATTACCTATAGAAGAGAAATTACATTTCTCTGCGCATCTGTAGTGTGAGTTAAATCTGCAACTAATTTCACCTGTAGGCACTAAGGCAGCGGTTTCCAAACCTGGATGATTATCAGAATCCTTTAAGGGGACTCTTAAAACTACAGATTCTTGGCACCGTCACTGGAGATTCTGACTCAGTTGGCTGGGTGGGATGCCAAAAATCTTTTAAAGCTTCCAAATAGGGCTTCCCTGGTGGTGCAGTGGTTGAGGGTCCGCCTGCCGATGCAGGGGACATGGGTTCATGCCCCGGTCCGGGAAGATCCCACATGCCGTGGAGCAGCTGGGCCCGTGAGCCATGGCCGCTGAGTCTGCGCGTCCGGAGCCTGTGCTCCGCAACGGGAGAGGCCACAGCAGTGAGAGGCCCGCGGACCGCAAAAAAAAAAAAAAAAAAAAAAAAAAAAAACCTTCCAAATAAAGAAATGCAAAGTAAAGCAACAAATAAGATACCATTTTTTTCTGCCCTATCGAATTATCAAAGCTGAAAAAGTAGGTAATCACAGATGTTGAGAATGGTGTGGGGATTGTAAATGGATATGCCCTTTGGAGGGAGTTGATGGGGCTTTGTCTATCACAGTTCTAAACACACTCTCCTCAACAGAACAATTCCATTTCTGGGTGCTTAATATTCTCTGCAGCATTATTCATCACAGAAAATAAAACAACTGGAAAGACCTAAATGTCCATTGGTGGGGAACTGATTGCCTGAAATATGGTATATCCTTTGCAGGCATTTCAGAAAAGGAGATAAGCCTAAATCTAATTACATAGAAAGATATTCATAATACAGTGTTAAATACGGGGAGAAAAGTAATTGCAGAGTGACATGAACATGAACCAATTTGTGTGAGGAAATCTATACACTCATATATATTTATAAATGCACAGAATATGTGTGGGGGAAAAAACCACACTCTAAACTATTATTTGTAGTGCCCCGGGGGAGTAGGACTGATTAAAGCAGGAAGGAAAGAGTACATTTTTACCTTTTATTTTTTTATTTCATTGTACATAGTTCTGTACTATTTGTTTATCATGTGGGTTTTTTTTTTAATAAACATGTATTACCATTAAAAAAATTTTTTAGGGGTGGGGGAGGGATAGGCTGGGAGTTTGGGGTTAGATGCAAACTATTACATATAGAATGGATAAACAACAAGGTCCTACTATATAGCACAGGGAACTATATTTAATACCCTGGGATAAACCATAATGGAAAAGAATATAAAAAAGAATGTATATATGTTTATAACTGAGTCAGTTTGCTGTACAGCAGAAATTAACACAACATTGTAAATCACCTATACTCCAGTAAAACAAAATTTTAAGTTTAATCAAAAAGAATCCAACCCATCAGGTGTCCTGGTGACCAGCAGGCCTGGAAACTCCTAAAGTATGTGGATTGGACCAAAAAATCCTGCTCCCACAGAGTTCACGGAGACCAGATTCTGGCTACTCTGCTCTAACCACCAGAGTGGCTCAAGTTAAGCAGGAAAAGACCTACGTGTGCCCCAAAAAAGCTAACAAGTGGGACAGATAGCATAACACAGACCCAAAGAAGGTGCACGATTGGATCAATTCCCAGAGACTTGCCTTAAAATAGGAGAGACACACAGCTCTTTGTAGGCCAAGGGCCTGGAAACAAAGACTGCATTTCTGCTAATTGTATTACAATGTACAGCTGTGCCTTACTGGCACCAGGAAAAGAAGCACTGGCGGGGCCTTTGGCAAATAAGGAGGAGGGTGTGGAAGGCGACTACCGCACTGTTTAACTTCATCTCTGCTGAGTGGATCTGAGTCCTGGAAAACCTACCTTTCATCCAAGCTTGGTCATGGCAATAAAAGCACCACCACCCAGTCCTACCACATTCTCCCAGGTGACATCTACACACACACACACACACACACACACACACACACACACACACACTCACCTCCTCGTTCTGATAGGCAGTCACAGCTATGAACTGGGTTTCAGGGAAGGAGCAGTTCATCACCATTCGATGGGCACCTCCAACACGCACTATGTGAACCTGGGGTTCATATTTATGCAGAGAATTCAACATTATCTGTTGAGGTGGAAGGAGAGAGAGGACATGCAAAGGCTGGGGCAGCACAAGTGACAGATGACCCAGCGCCTTTAGTTAGTCCCAAGCTCAGCACCCACCTCGGTTAAGGCTACACACACCGAATCCCCGGTCGCCTGAGCTGCCTCCACCTCTCTGAGAAATTACTGAGGGGACATTTTTTAGAAGCTCTCAGGGAGCATAACTTTGGAGCTGCTTATAGGAGGGTGAGGGGTGGGTTGCCAGGGAAGAGCTGGTCTAAAGAGTGTTCAGTTTTCTGCCAAAATCCTGGCTTCCTTTTTTTTCTCTCCCATTTTCAGCACAATGATGTGGATTTTGCTCTGTTAAAACATACTGTTTTTCTTCCTATAAAGAATCCTAATATCTCAAAATCCTGACACGGGCTGCATTACCTAAAGTATAATGACAGCTGACATCTGCTGGCTACATAAAATCCACTCTTTGTGATTCAAACCAGAGGTTTATTGAAAATCTCATGTTGTGAAGTCTGGGAGGGAATAATAGTTTACTTTTCAATTTCCTGTTTTAATAAATAACTGGAACCTTCTGAATATTGCAGAGACTTAGGTGGATGACTTCCGCTCTTAAAACAAGAACCCCTATGTCCCAGTTAGGTAAGCACAGAGATCAGAGAAGGGGTGAAAACTCTGAGGGCTAAGAGGCTGACCAAAGGGAAATCTGGGGGAACAATACCTCTTCCTCCCAGCTGTGTCTCTAATCCCCCAAAACAGTCTACATTTTATGAACCAAATAACAACCTTGCACAGTACACTAGTGTTCACAATCCTACCAGAGAAAACAAAAGAATAAAAAGCCTCAAAATCTTGTTTACTCTAATTGGAGACCTTAAATAAAACCTTCCTTATTTAAGGTTTGTTTGGATATTTTTTTCTGAAAACCCAAAGCTGATTCAATATTCTATTGATAATTATCACAATGCCCAAGTGGAGGGAGCAATTATTTCATTTCGGAGCAGCTTTTTATTAAGGTAGTTGTCTCTTGCCAACATGCCACTTACACCAAAAAGAGGGGAGAGGGAATAACAAAACCCTGGTACCCACAAACATCTCCCTCCTCCCCAGCTGGGTAAAAAGCACCACACACAAGACAAAACTCTGAAAGGCCCCCCGATGATGATTAAGTAAACTACTGTGCTCTCTCACTCTCTCTTAACATCAGGAAGTCCATTAAAAACTGAAAGCACCAATTAAGAGCTGTTTATTCCTGTTCACATTTGGACTCCGGGGAATAATTGGCTTCCGTGAGAGAAGAGGTCGGTGAGGACCCCCTAATTGCCTAAATGCACCCTTGAAATTTCTTGATTGGTGTAGTGGGGTTAGGGTGGCCGGGCAACAGTCGTACCTGCCCACCTCCATTGAGCTTGTTGGTCAGTTTCACTTTGCTGAAGGAGATGGGTGCCTTCATCCAGTGGGCCCCAAAGTTGGGGGAGTCCGGGTGGATGTAGACACAGCTGTGGCTGGAGACCTCTGGCTTGCCCGCGGGCACCCATTCCCCATTGACGTACTTCCAGCGGTGACTGTCCGTTGGGACAAAGTCCAGCAAGAGCGAGTACATGGCATTGGGGTCCAGCCCCGTGACGCTAATCTTTAGGACCGGGAACATCCGTCTAAAAGACAAAGGCAGAAACTGAGCCACAGGGAGGATGTTAGAGTGTTAGGGACATCTCCCTGCTTGTCCAGCCCTCTCTCCACTCAGAGGAGACCTTGCATTTTCTGCCCCAGGGGTGCAGAAAATGCCCCGGGGGAGGCCAAACAAAGAGGGGCCAGGCCAGCGGCCCCAAGTCCAGCTAAGCCTCTTTTTACCAATGTATTTTATATTGGGGTTTTACTTTTAAATGTTGTGCTCCACTTTAAAGTCTGAAAACCACTGATCTAGTCATCTGACTAGAATCAAGTACCTCCTGAAGCTTAAGGTATATAGTCAGATGCCAGGTTCTCACAGAGCTTTCTCCAGAGGTTTCCTCCCAGCCTAGGTCAGATCCGCATGCTAATGACACAAAGCAGCCCTTCTCCGTCTCACAAAGAACCCCAGTTCTGAATAATAGTAATAGCGTTATAGGGAAAACATGGTTTTGTGGTAAAGTGAGTGAAGGGAACGCTTGACTATACATCAATTCAGACCACTTCCTTTCCTGCAGGACTTGTCAGAGGCTTTAATGTACCAGTGTGCACTGTGAGCCTTTGGAAAGGAAGTGCGGGGTTGTGCACACTCTGCACTTATGTACCAGTGCTACCTTCTTATGTACCAGTGCTACCTTCTTCTCACCTATCATCTTGCGGGAATTTGCATTCAAGAAATACACTTTGAGACACGCTGATCTGGATTTGCTGGTCCCTTCTCCCACCCTCTAGGGCAACACCAGCAAGCTTACTCTCACAAATATTTGGAGAAGCTGTCTCACCTGGCAAACTTTCTAAGTTGCTCCAATCTCCTCAAAAGACCTAGTTTCCAGACAGACCCTCACCACCACGCAACTACCCCAGAGGCTGTCTTATTTGTCAATACATCTTTTAAAATCTGAATCCCCAAGTTGAGAAGCTAACAATCTAGGGTCTAGACACGTGCTACTCAGAGTGGTCCATGAATCAGTGGCATCAGTATCAGCTGGAAATCTATCAGAAATGCAGAACCTCAGGTAGCACTCCAGACCTACTCAGTCAGAATCTGTGCTTTTACAAAATCCCCAGGTGAGTCATTGGAACATTAGAGCTTAAAAGGTACTGGTCTAGGGAATCTTTAGCTTTTAAGACAATAACTAGGGAGATATCCAAGGGAATAAGGGGGAGTCACTCTGAGGATTTGTGCTTCTGGTGAGGCTGGGAGGAGAATGAAAAGGGGGAAACTGGAATGTGTCCACTGCTAAGAGAAGGGGTTGCCAGGAGCGGAAGTGTTAAAAGCAGAATGGGCAGGAACTGGAGGGTCACAAAGAGCACCTCCTGTGTCCAGAGGTTCCTGGTTTTGAGGTGAGGTACAACGGGAATTGGTACATATGTTAAGTGTAGAAACTGACCAACAGATGACAAAGGATGGATCTAGAGATGGACTCGACCCATCCAGGCTTCTCAGTCTCCTGAGTTCAAATTACATGGGCTCCCTGAGCTCTCTAGACAGAAAGGATTTTTTTACCTTTGGTTCGCCCACCTCATCAATACTTCCTTTCCGACTCCTTTGCTGGATCCTCTTCCAACTTAGTCCTCCAGTTGTGGATGCGTAATGGGGATACGTTTTCAGCACCCCCTCTTTTCTAAATGTCCTACCTTAGAGACCACTTCTAATCTCATGGCAGAATACAAAGAGCCTGGAGGATTTTATACCAACCAAGTTTCATACCTCTGGTATGGCGCTTAGCAAGCATTTAATAGATAGTACCTTTGAGTGCTAGAGGGTGGGTGACCGAGATAATGAAATTGAAGCTTGGTGAGTTTAAGTAAACTAGCTTAAGTCCATATATTCAGGAAGGGTGGGAGTTCAAACCAAACAAACCAAACCAGAACCTACCCTTGAAATCATTCTTCACACTCACTAGGATGGCTATAATAAAAGAGGTGAACAACAGCAAACACAGGTAAGGATGTGAAGAAACTGGAACCCTCATACATTGCTGGTGGGAATATAAAATGGTCCAGCCACTTTGGAAAAAAGTTTTGCAGTTTCTCTGTTAAAATAGAGTTGTCACATGACCCAGCAATTCCATTCCTAGGTGTATATGCAAGAGAAATGAAAACATACACCCATAAAAACTTGTATACAGACAGTCATAGCAGCGTTATTCATTACAGTCAAAAAATGGAAACAACACACGTGCCCATTGACGAGTGAATAAATAAAATGCAGTATATCTATACAATGAAATGTAGTTTGTCAATAAAAATGCTATAACATGGATGAACCTTGAAGACATTATGCTATACTTTAAATCGGTAAACTGTATGGTATGTAAATTATCACAATAAAGCTGTTAACAAAAGAAAAGTAAAGAAATAAAGAAGCCATGGTGTCCTGGCTCTTAGAAGGACACGTCCAAAATGTGGTAGAACCGTTTGTTGCTTTATTCTCTAGTACTTTATTTGCCAAGGATTTTACTAGTTTTATTTTTTATCACAACACAAGTGAACTAAGAGATGCTATGTATTTTTATCTCCATTATGCCAATGAGGAGTAAATAAAAGTCAGTCAACCAGCCAAAAGTCTTGTAACTGGCAATGGAACTCACCCTGCCTCTA